GGGTGTGTAGGGGGACAAGGACAGGACGGAAGGGGTGTTCAGGAGCGGAGAGGGAGCGGCGTGAGGGAGAAAAGAGGGATAAGAAGGGGAGACCTGGGGAGACCGGTCCGGCCGCTGCCGCCCCACCGCGCACTGAGGGAGCAAATGGCGGCGGGCGCTGCTCCCGGGGTTTAAATGGCCTCGGGCCCGCCCCGCGCAGCCGCCCTGGGGCCCCGCGCACCTGCCCGGCCCCGCCCCGCGCACCTGAGGCGGCCCCGCCGGGACCCGCCCCATCCCCCGCACCTGCCCGGCCCCGCCCCGCCCCATCCCCCGCACCTGAGCCGGCCCCGCCCTTGTCCCTCCCTTGTCCCTCCCTTGTCCCTCCCTTGTCCATCCCGCCTCGCCCTTGTCCCGTCCCGGCCGCGCTGTCCCGGTCCGTCTCTCGGCACCGTCGCTCTCGGCGGGAGCGCTCCGAGCCCGGGGCGCTGCGGCGGGGCCGGGCCGGGAGCCGGAGATTCGCGCCGGCTCCTGCCGGTGTCGGCCGCGGTCCCGGGCGGTGCCGCCTCTCCGCGGCGGGCAGGCGCGGTCCGGGACCGGAGGACCGAGACCAGGTCGGGTTGGATCGGCACCGGCACCGCGGCGTGCGGGAGGAGCCGCTCCGGGCGGGCGCTGGAGCCGAGTCCGGCGCTGCCGCTGCCGCTCCGCCCGCGGGGAGCCGGAGCCGGGGCAGCCCCCGGGGTCCCAAACGCGGGGTCCGGGCTCGGCTCTGGGCCCCGAAACCGGCCCGGGCCGGGCCCCAAAAGGCGGCACCGCGGCTCCGCCGCCCGCCCCGGAGGCAGCTCCGAGTCGCTGCTCCTGAGCTCCCCCGGGGCCGGGCGAGCCCCGCACTGCCGGGCTGTGCCCGGGGCAGCCCCGGGGCCGAGCGGCTGCGACTGACGCGGGGCCGGACGAGCCCGGTTTGCGCAGCGAAGCGCGGGATCGGGGCTGGACTGGAGCCCTCCAAACGCAGCCCTCAGCCTCTCTTGGTGACGCCCAAGAACCGATCCAGTGAGTCTGGTTCCGAGCTCCCAAAATACAGCCCAGCGTCTCTGAGCCCGAAGCTGCAGGGCTCGGTCTGTTCCGAGCCCCCAAAGGCAGCGCTGCGTCTCTCTGTGAGCCCCAGAGCTGACCCGGGGTGGCTGAACCCAGCCGGCAGCTCCGCGCCAGCAGCGGCTCCCTCACTTCCCACCCTCGAAGCGGGAGTGGGAAGGGAATCGGAAACAAGACTCAGGCCAGGCCGTGAGATCACAACAGTTTAGTAATGAAAACCGAGAAATACATACAAACGGAACAGAAATGACAGTACATGTTACTAATGGTAGCAACAGGGGTAATAACCATGATGAAGCGAGAATAAAACAAATTTTGTTATATATACACAATTTACAAATTTTATTAAAAGCAATGTCATTAATCCCTGATGCCTATCAGGACAAACTGGTATTTGGAAAGTCATTTGTTGTCCAGCAGAAGTCTTCTTCAAAGAAACCGAAGAAGTTGTCATTGCTGATCAAAAGTAACTGTTCCTGAAATACCAGGGGTGAAATTTCAGCCATTTTAAAAGTCAGGTGCTGCCTTCAGTTGTGTTTCTGCCATAGCAGAGAGACTTCTGGTTTTGCCAGAATGCCCCATCTTATTTTGAAAGGTGGAATATTTTGTGAACATGGTGAGTTCTGATTTGTGCCTGCATCGTGGCAGTGTAGATTTCAATGTGGAACCTTTAAATCTATGGGATTGAATTGTCAGCCATTTATAAAAATGTATGGAAGAGCAGTGTGCCTGACCTGCATTTTTCTGTTCAGCTGCATTTCCTTGTAATTTGATCCAATCCAAGTATTTGTACTTGGATGCCTGTTGCATAATGCTTGTGTCCAATTGGAAAGTCTCCGAGGGAGGAGCTCCTCTTTTGCCTCTGGACAAAGTGCTGTTGGAGTGCCTCAGCCAGCAAACCTGCGTGCTGGACTGCCGCTTCCTGGGAGAAGAGCCCCTCTTTGTTTGGGGGCTTATTCCATCAGGCTGTGAGCCTGGAGTTGAATTCCTGACCTCTGAGGAGCTCGCAGGAAGTGCCCACTGTTCTCTGAGCCCCCCCGTGTGTGAATATGGGCTGTTAACCCTGCAGTAATAAACGTGCCAATGTGGTGTCTTTGGAACAGGCTGCAGAATGTGCTGGGAAATTGTTCATCTTCCACTCTTCTCTGCCAACTGCAGAAGCGCCAGGGAAGCTGAAAAACAGAGATGACAAAAAACTGCTCAATACAGATAAGGAAAAGGTATTTTCTGCTCTGAGCGAAGACACCTGCATGTCTCTAATAGGGCACTGATCTTTATTAAATTACTTTCACACAGCATGGACTGCAAGAAGTTGTATAAAAAGGTGTCGCTGCTGGACCCTGCCCTGTACCTTCATTTTTGTACTCAAATGACATTACTTATATGGCAGTTGCTAATGCTGTGGCATTACTTGTGACCTCTCTATTCAAGAGCAGTTCTCTATTGCTAAACCTCACTGTCCCCTCTGGGGACTGTAGGACTTTTTATAACTTTAATAACTTATTCTGTCATGTCTGATAGATGTCCCTAAGAACCACAGGTATGCTGGTGCTACAGCTGCCAGCAGCACTGCCAGGCTGCCCTGGCTGCAGAAGGTGTCACGTGCCTTTTGTGCACAGAGAAGGCGCCTCTTCAGCAGTAGCTTTTTCTTTCCAAAACTGCTTGAGAGCCAGCCTGCACAGCACACCAGCATTCCAGCCAGCTTCTTACAACCAGCGCTGTCAGAGTTCTCAGAATTCTCCAGCTGATGGCTGATTTACACACAGTGATCTACACGTGATCAATGTTTTATATTCCCTCTGAAGCCAAATGCCAACACATTCTGAGCACCTTGTCAGTGCAGGTGTTGAATCCTTCACTGAATTCACAGGGTGCAACATAATCCAAGGACTCTAAGCCTGTTCCAGAATGGAAAGACATGACAAGGTCTAGACAGGCAGTGCAAATCAGACTGGAGGTATTATGCATTTAATACAAGTGGAAAGAAGAAACTCATCAGGCTTTTTATCTTCCAGGAGAGCATGCTCAAAAGAAATCTTCATTTACTTGTGGCAAATGAAATACTCATCAGTTCAGTGATTCCGAGCCTTATCCTCCCCTTGCTCTGAAAGTGTTACAAGTGAGAAATTAACTGCCAACTACTAAAGGGATTAAAAGCTTTTCATCTCTAGTCACCATTTCTATATGGTCCAAATCCCAGTGACTAAGAAAATGACCCGATGTTTTTACAGTCTAATGGGGTGTGTGGGACTCACTCCAGTACTTTGAAGTCTCATCTCTATCCCCACAAGGACATGGACCCAGATTTGGGAGCGTGCAGATCTGCACTACTCTGCCTTACCTGTACAACCTTTGTCAATCCATTACTGCTGAAATTCAACCTTCATATGAGCAGGGGCAGTGTTGTTCTTCATGGAGGACAAGTGCAGAGGTGAAGTTCCTGGTCCATTAACCTCAGTTAAAACATACCATCAGCTGCTTGTTAACAACATGGACATCAGACTTTGCTGGCAAAGGTGGCCAATCCAGACAGTTCTAATCTAACACTCACTACAGCAACTATTCATTTTTTCCTTAGTTATTGAGCTATTTCTGTTTTGATGAGAAGAACCAAGAAACCTCCATCACCTGCCACTACATTCCTCAGTCAGTGAAGTCTTGAGCAGCACCCCAGCTTCTGCAAACTGATACAGAGGCACTTCAGATCCAGTTGTTTTTGACCCTTCTCCCTTTAGCCTAAGTGTATGTCAAGTGCAGCCCATTCTCTGAACTACTGGTATTGGGCATATAATTAAAAGGAGCAAATGAAATTAACGTTTTCTACTCATTGAAAAACAAGAAAATATTCTTCCCTGGCACAAAAGCAAGGTCCTAAGTAAAGTGTCTTACTTTTCAAATAACAACATAACTAAGGCAAAAATCACAAAAAAGGTGTCCCTACTAATGCATTTACCTTCTCTCAGATGCGTTCCATATAGCCTGTGGCAGACTTCACCAATGACCAGATAAACATCACATTTAAAACTCCCCTTCCCCAAATCCAGTCACTCTCCAGATGGGCACATACGACAGAAGAAGAAACAAGCTGTAAACTACAGGCAGTTTCCACTGGCACTACGGCAATCCCCTGCTAAACACAACCAAAGCCAGGGAGTTCCCCAGCCTGTCAAAATCTTCAAAATCAAAAGAACAGTTCCTGTCTACAATAGCACAAAGGAAACCAGTTAGCAATTCCAAAACTTCAAGGACAATAAACCCACAAAATATTAAGAAAGATGTTTAAACATCAGCTTTGATAAACATGTTTAATAATCTGCTACTTTACAGGACAGTTATCTAAAAGCTGAGCTTCAAGAGAAACATTCAGACTAAACACCAGTTTTTCAAAACTCACACCTAAGACCTTGAGACATCAAAAGCCAGGTTTGTTCAGCCTACCAAGAACTGCACAAGAGGCTCAGAGTTGTGGTTTTGCTAAGAATGGACATTGTACATAGGGAAGGGGGTCACTGTCTTTCCACAGTGCACTGGAGCAGCAAGAGCCATTCTCAAATGTGTGCAACACCCGCAGGCAAAGGCAGCACTCAATTCCATCAGTGCTCCTGTTTCCGGGATCGCACACTCACACCTCCTCCCTCCAGTGAGGGCTCTGGGACTGCTCTGCAGTGACACTGCTCTTCCTTCCCACAGAACAAGGTGGTACAGACACACACTGGGGGAAGATCCCCACTCAAGGAACAACCCAGACCTGTGCACAGCTTCTGGGCTGCACATAAATGCACAACCTCAGTGCTTTCCAGGAAGGACAACACACAGCTGCACAGAATTATCACTCTCCCCTCTACTGACGTGACAGGTGAGTGCATATATACCACAAATTAAAAATTAACCTTTTCCTATTCCCAGGAATAACTTGGGAAATTTAAACCAAATAAGAAAAAATAGAATTCTATTTATTTAATTTGCTCCTTGGTTTCAGAGAAGTTAAAATAGGTGTCAATACAGACACATCAATTTTTCTTCCATAGAACAGCAAGAGTCTGCTGTGACCATGCAATTCAGAACTGCATTTCATGCCCGCTCCATATTAATGCAAGTCAGTCCAAACCCAAACCTCCAAAAACAGGAGGAATCCATGTTTTGGAGAAAATGAAGTCTCCACCTTGCAAGGTTCCCAAGTGGAGAGCACGGGGGTCATTTCCATCCTACTGTGGTGTGAAGGTCTGGTGCTCTCTGCTCTGAGTTCAGTGCTGCCCATGCAGGACATGGCCAGCTGAGGGGCTGTGCCAGAGTGCAAGGCTGACTGTCTGGAACGGCGTGCACCAAAAACAATTGTAAAAGTCATGGAGCTTGAGTCCCCAGAGGAATTCACTGTAGGAAAAACAAGTCTACGGGGAAGATTCCCAGACAAGGCGCAGGCAGGGGAAGCAGCCGTCACCTCCTCAGCGGGTGGGGAAGCCCCCTCGATGCGTCCCTCCACGGCCCCCTCTGAAGCCGCCCCGCTCACCGCGGAAGTTGGTTCTGTTCCTCTCCCTGCCCCTTTCTCCTCGTCCTGCTGAAGTCCCTCCTCTTCCTCCTCCCCTGGGAGCACCCCCACCCCGGTCAGACTTGGACTTGGGCGGCGGGGACTTGGGCCGCAGCCTCTCGATCTCCTCAGTGCAGCCGGTCAGGTGGGAATTGGGAGCCGTGAAATACGAGGAATACGTTTCCGCATTGAAGTTGCTGTTTGTGAGGGTAGGTCCCACTGTCAGCCAACCTCGGGAAAAAAACCACAGTCAGCAGAAACAACAACAAACTTCAGGCTTCAAGGCTACAGCTAAATTTCTCCCAGTAAATGAACACTTAAGTGACAGGGAGAAACACTCACCTACACATCAGCGGCACTGAACAGAATGAAAAGTCACCTCTAGAGTTGGTGCAAAGTTAAGATTTTAACTGGGTTATTTCTAAGAGCTTGTTTTCCTTTTTCTTTTTTAATTTTTTATTACACATGGCTGTGGCAACATTCACACTGTGCTTTCACAAACCCCTACTCCTTCTTCTTACTTGTCCTTACACCACAACAGTGTTTTTAAAAAATACAGAAGTTCAACCAGAGCAACCTGATTCTGTGAGACACTGACATACAGGAATCCACTGGCAGCAGCACTGAAGGAATACCTGAACTCTGTGTCCTGATCCATGTATTTCTTGCATTTTGCATCATGCCAGATGCAGCACCCGTTGTGAGATACTGCAACTTCAGACACTGGCAAAAGCATTACGCTCATAGGGGTTGAAAATCAGTTGGAGGAAGAAATTACTTTTCTGAGAAGTGTAAACATATAGGAGAAAAGGAATCTCAACTGGATTTTGTTATGCTCACTGATGAATTAAACACATGGATAGGCAAACATATTGGTTAACAAAAATCTCTCTTCTGGAAAAATTACAGAACTTTTAGTTCTCATAAGCTTTCTAAACAACAGTACTGTGACTGACACTTCTATCTCCTTCAGATCTGCTGTCTGACCTGTGACATACATCTGGCAACCTCTTTAGGGCCCTGAAATGAATTCCTGCTTGATCAAAAACACCACAGCAGTTACCTGGTCGAATTGTGCTGTCTCTCCCGAAGAGGTGAAGCCGCCGTCGCCCAAGGCAGAAATGCTCAATGATGTGAAAAATCTCCACAGGTTTCTCTATGTTGCCGATTTCAGGCTCCTCAGTGATGATGAGGTCGATGTCAACGTTGGCATGGATGAAGTCCCCGTCGGTGCTGCGGCGCACGGTGCCCTTGATGCCCATGAGGCAGTGCTCCTGCAGACACACAGAGCACTCACGTGGCACACCTACTGCTGTGCCAGGTGAGCACAAGGGACAGCAAGGGCAGCTCTAGGCACATCCCACTCCTGCAGGAGACAAAAGTCTGAAACATGAACTAGAGCAGAAAAACTGGAGCTACCAAAGGAGCCAGCTGAGAACAAAGCAGAGCAGTACTTTAAGCTGAAGCTTGATAAACTACACTATGAGGTGGTAAAACTCAAATCAAGGTCAGCTACGTGGACTTCTTCAATTACAGAACTTTAGGCTGGAAAGGCTGAGAAGTCTCCACAAGGCAAAAGAGAAAAATGTGATGGCAAGAGCAAAGAACAGTTATTAATTATGATTAATACCTGTCTTAGCATTCTGATCCTAACTTTATTCATATAACAATTTTAAAAGTTTTCAGTCATGAAACAGACAGTGGAAATAAGATGTACTTTTCCATACTGTACCTCTGTTGATAAAGTGACCCTCAGAACTTTATCCTTCCTGTTTCCTTCCTTCTACAACACTGCAGACCCATTTAAGTGAGTGATATGTGGCACCCATGAATGAGGATTGTTCCAGGATGAAAAGAGGCTCCTACATACTCATTTCAGAGCTCTGCTTCTGGGAATATCAACCTCAGATGAGTCATGTTCCCCAGGATCAAATGCTCTGACTCACTAAGCACCCCCAGATGGCTCAGGAAACAGTCACAGATGAGCATGTAATCATTCCTGAATTTTGGAAAGGGTTTGTAGAGTTAGTGGGTAAACATGAAAGGTATAGCATCAGACCTGTCAAATCTATGCAGATGGTACTGCACTCATGCAGCACGGGTTTGGACCTACAATTTACCTAAGTGAGAGGCAGAATACTGCTAAGCAGATCACCCACCAAGCCAAGACTCCTCAGTTTAGAACCATCCCTAACATTTTACTTCCATACCACACGGTATGTCACCCACAAATACTGGGATTCTCTGACAGGTGGCACAACACCGAGCATCCATGGAGAGATGCCTCAGCCAAACAGAACAGAACACTGCTCTAAGCACTGGCAAACACAGCTTGCAACAGTGTTTGTTTGTTCAGAGCAAACTCACTCCATTTTCAGTGTTTATCACAAACAGTGACCTCAGCTCATGATAAACACAGGAATTCCCCCATACCAGGAACTATTTTTCTCTGCTAAAAAGAGACATAAAGTCCCCTTAGATCCTCCTGTGTTAGCTTTAACCTTGCCCTCATGAGCAAACTGCACATATTTGCAATACTATATGCAATAAACACACAATATTTATACTTATAAATATTTATAACTAATACAACACACTTTCAAACAAACTTCAGATTAATGTAAATCCAAGTCAAAGAAAGATTCCAGATATCCTAAAGGGAAGTTTATACTCCTAACAATAGCCAATTTGAGACAGACTTGAGGATGTTTAATGCTAATGAATGATTAATGAATGAGGAAGGAGTCCTGATGTTCACTGACAACTTGAAACTAATAAATTGCCAATCAGCTCTCTGTACTCAGTAAAACTTGCAGCTACATTCACGTATACCCAAACCAATTATTTATGAGTCCCATTTACATTTCTCTAAGTTTCTGATCAACAGACATTTGAGTTGCAAACCACAACACTTTCTCTGCAACTCCTTCAATACACATCCTCCACAAAGCATCTTAAAAAATAAGGTTGGTTTAAACCAAGCTGGCCCAGTCTGTCACTTGTACTATGCATTCACCTCCAAGAAGGCAGGAGATTCCCTGGTTTCCCCAGAGCTCTCTCTGGTCCAAGCTCTGGGTGCACACCTCGTGTGCATTTAGAAACAATAGACAATCTTCTATACTTATTTTTTATTAATAGATTCAGTTAAAATCTACAGATTTAAAAGACTTATTTTGACATTGACTTTAGTCAAATTCTATTGCTAAGTTTAGTTAGCAATAGAAGTTCCATAAACTTTAGTTCCGTAAATTCCACATTTTTAGTTCCATACAATGTACTTTGCAGAACAGAACTTGCAAGTCCTCCTGTTGGCTTTCTCACAAGCCTGAACAAACACTGGGTGCTGTCATCAGCACAGAGAGCAGAATGGAAACAGAGGAAGAATGGAGCTAATCCTTTACCTTGGTTCTTTGGAAGACAGCCTTGGGGTCTAGAGTCTTCGTCTTGCCAGGGTTGTTCTTATTTGTTTTAATCCAGCAAATGTCCTCACATCTTCTGTAACCCCATTTGCGTAGACACTAAATGTTATAAACAAGTAAAACAGTTCACGTACACAAAAACATCAAGTGACCTGAACTGAACATTCACTTAGGCCCTTGACTTTTCTTATTCAAGGACTGTCCAGCTACTATAAACCTGTCTATGACCAAATCCAATCTATCTGGCCGACTTCAGACTGAAAAACAGCCAAAGCAAACAGATCACTATCACAGGCTGCCCTTAAACAGTTGTCTGTGAATTATTTTCATGGAAAACACTGCTTGAACTAAATTAAGAATGTTTCAGCAGAGCAGGAGCCAATTGGGAATTCTTAGTGCAGCATCCCCAACACAAGCAGCATTTCCCTGGCATGCAGAAAGATGACAATTGTATCTCCATTTATCAAACAGCAGGACCTTTCTCCTAGTGTGAACATTTCTGGCAGAAAACTACTGAGACTTCTGTTAAAAAAGCTGTAACTTGGCAACCTGCTTCTCTGTCAACACACTACATCAAAACCACGACCCCAAGGAATTATGCTTCCTCACATAGTCCATGAGTCAGCTGGACATTTACAGTATCTAAACAGTTAATGCAATTTAAAATCACATATCCTCTAACACAGTAACAAAACATCTCTCAGTAGTTAGGGCAGAGAATTCTATACAGGGAAAAGTCAAAGACAAAAATAAACTCTTAAGCCTGTCCCTGATAAATTGAATTAAACCAGCATCTTACCACTCGGCCAAGATCCAGACCCTCGCCTGAGCCGCACCACAGAAACACAAATGACCTTGGGGCTGCAATTTCTTCAATTTCCAATTTCATGATCTAGTAATAATAAGTGCAATAAAAGCATTTCTGAATTAAATACAAATCACCAGTTGCATCAGGAAGAATACTAAGTCTTCAGGCATAGTCACAGAAACCATCAGGAAGCACAAACGGAGGCCCCCAAGGGAAGCAGGAAACTGATTCCTTGTTTTGCTTTGCTTGTGTGCATGCTTTTGCTTTCCCCATTAAACTGTCTTTGTCTCAAGGTTTGAGTTTTCCAGCTTTTACCCTTCCAGTTCTCTCCCTGATCCCACTGGTGGGGGGGTGAACATGTGGCTGCCTGGGGCTGGGCTGCTGGCTGGCATGAAACCATCTCAAACAGAAATTCTATCTGTGTAAGAAATTCTAGACTTAAAAGACCAATACAACCCACATGATCTTCTCCTCAAATCTCTACTTCATTTTATTCTTCCACTGGCAGCAAAAATATTTAATACAGAAGCAACAGTACTGTTTCTTTTCCTCTCTGTAAGTACTTATATGAAAGTTGTGAAGACGTTCTAAAAATCTCAGCTTAATTCCTATCACTAAATAGGAAAGACATTCTCGCCATTTTCACTTTCAGGAAAAGCAGCTAGAATTTATGAGAACAGAGGTTCAACAATGGCAAATGAGTAACATTCAACATGAAGTAACTTCGGATGCAAAGCATCTGTTAGTCATCACAAGTTGAAATGATTAATCTCTAACTTGCTAACACATCAAATCAAGCTTCATTCAATGCTATTCCAAAGAAAAATAATGCAGTAGGAGCCATTCTAAGAAGAAGTATCTCCACACTAGGAGGATGAGTCCTGCCTCCTCCCACACTCCAGTTTTTCTGTTAGGATGGAATGTTTTTTCTCTGGGCACCACTGCCAGGCATTTTTGAATTTTTGAATAAATACAAGAAAAAAAACTTCCACAAATGAGGTTTATCTATTTTGTTAAGTTTCTAGGGATTATTACTGGTTTGACCATCACAATTTCCTACCCAATCAATACTTGGAGAATGGAGGAATGTCTCTAAAGTAAACTAATCTGCACTTTTTATGAGAAGACCAGCATGCTAAAAAGCATGCCTTAATAATCTCAAGAATTTCAAGAAACAAGGGAATCTTTTCAATGGACGTTCAGTATTTTAACAGACAAAAATCAGAGAGCTCAGTGAAGGTAAGGGCAGAGAGAAAACCCATTATTACTAGGTTCAAGTTTTCAGCCAGGCTCAGAGAGAACAAAAGGTTGTATTTACTAAATTAAACCCTTAAACTATTTGCTTAAACAAATGTATGAAACGTTCTTCACAGCGAAACAGGTACTTACATCATCCCAGGTCCAGCATTTTTCATTGGCAGTAATGCCAGTCTCTCGGTAATATTCTTCCAGTGGTGGCTCCAGGAGAATCACATCAAATTTGGACTTCAGTTCCCTAATATCAAAGGCTTCCAAGTCTGCTTGCAAATACCTGTTTAAACAGAAGATGCCAGATGCTTGGACAAGGTGCAACAGTGGCCTGAGAACTACACTCCACACAACACTTCTGTGCAGCCAGTTAAGAGCGGGATCTCCTGGGTGGGTTGTACATCTCAAATGCTCTAAATCCAGAGGAGATCCATTACACATCCTCACTTAATCGAGGCTGGATGCTATTGCATTGTGGTTTTTAAGTAATCTTAATAAGCAGTTTTTAGGCTTCTAACTTAGCAAGCAGGAAACAGATAACCATGCAGGCTGCACAATACCTAGTACAGCCTCACTGCTCTTTCTGTACACCTGTGGACTATAATAGGAAGAAACATAAACATTTAAGAAGCAAACACTGCCTGGCTAACTGGGAAAGTGGCATATTTTTAGAATTATTCCAAAGATTCTAAGTACTGGAAACATTGATACTTTTTATGTAGTATACATGTATTTCTCTATTCTTGTACCAAGCAAAATTTCTCCCGTCATTGATTCTATTAAATACATGCTCACACACACTCTTATGACTCTCCTTCACACCACTCACTGCTCTACCACTATCAAAAAATTACACCGCCCTCCCCTAAATTCCTTTAACCTTAGTAAAGCTGATCAACAGACCATCACCTTCCCCTTCCCAAAAAGTGTGTGGAAAAGATTCCATGTGTAGATAGCAGCATTTGATTACTGGTTTTCCCCATTTTGTACTTTATGACCAAAACATGCCTAGCTTAAAAGAACAGGTTGAAGTTCTGCAGTCTGCACTCAGTTGTCCAGACAACTATTTAATAGGATTTTATGTGACTCTCATTAAACAAGGTGGATTTTTGTGGTACAGATCAAGATTACTGCACATGGCAAACATACAATTAAGTTCAGAGAGGTCTGAATCCTTGGAGTAACACACTGCACACTGAGGCTGAGTCTGACATTCAGCAAGAACAAGGACAAATGACTTTCAGTCAGCCTAAACATTTTTGTCTTATAAACTCCAAAATAACAACTTATTGATGTGGACACTGAGATAAGAGCTGAACACTATACAAAAACCAGCTGCTACAAGAAAAGCTAAGGTTATATTAAGAGGCAATTTTTTTAAAGCTCTTCTTGTTATCATAAACCACATGATAATGTGAGATTCACCACCACATGATATTCTCTTAGTTCCCAAATTAAAGCCTGCAGTTGACAATTTGGTCTTAAAAAATCAAAGCTTTAGAGACTATAAATAATCACACACTGGAAAGCAAATCTGGTTTATACGCTGTATTAAACATCTAGATTAAAGTATCAAAATCAGAGTAATCTTATTCTTCTATGCTTCAATTGATTCATTTATATAAACAAACAGAAAGAGAAAATGTAAATTCCAAGCAGGTGCTGAAGATAGAGATTTGCAAAGCAGACAGCTAACTTCAAACAGGTCTGGAGAAGAAAGGCATTTTCCACAAGAACACTTACATGGGAGGAGTGTTAGATTTAGATATCAGCTCATCCTTCAATCTGATGAGCTCTCTAAGTTTTGGATATTCTTCAAACCTATCTGCTAAGCCTAAGAAGAAGAAAACATGAAGTTAACAACTACTTAACAGAGTAAATCTCTATCAGTTAAGCATTGTCCAGTATTCTGAATAGGTCCAAATGTTAATACTTAGCCTCATTTTAATTTTTGTTAGAACAAAGCAAACCTTTTAAAGCAGTTTTTCATTCAGTACTTGACAAAAGCCTCCTGCCCTCACCCAGCCAATCAGGACTGTTACTAATGCAGTGTCTATGCCCTGATCTTCTCTAGAGCACTGCAGTGGATCAGGAATTCACAACTCCCGTTACCAGAAGGAAACAACCTTTAATTTAAACTGAAAGTGCCAGAATGATGAAAGAAGTTATTTTGGCTTTCCCCCATCCATACATTTCTATAAAGATCTAATTAACATTAATTCACAGCATAGTCTGTGTAATCTTTGACAGCTGTTTCCAAAGTGGAACCTGGGGTGTGGCTGGTTCCCTGAGGCAACCTTCACACTGAGATTTGGTGCTGTGGTGGCAGTCATGAAGATCCGAACACATGTTCCTACATATAGCTTTATGATGTCAATTTTCCAGCCTTTCGTGTGCACAGAATGCGAAGGAGAGAACCCTCATTAGATCTTTTGCAGCAAATGTTGTAAAAGGAAAATATACTTTGAAGTATATTTCATTCTCCCTTAGAGACAATGGGTTTGCTACCGCCAGCAGCAGGTTCAGCATAAACCAACAAAGTGCCATTCCTGCTTCCCAAGCAGTATCATTTCTATTTAAGTAGGAGTTATTCCAAAGGCTTCACATTCATTTAAAAGTACAACTTGGAATGGTATAATAAATCGCTGTAAAAAGCCTCACCCAAACCTATGAACCCTTCATTGCTCTCCTTATTTTACTTCAAACTTCCTGAGTTCCAATCCTAGGAATGCAATGATAAAAGCAAAGTACCGAACCTTTATTATCTCTTGCTACTTGTGCATAACACACACCAAAGTTATTTCATTCTTTTCCTTACATATGTAAACAGCTTAAAGCTACTGCTGGGTTCTCCTGATTTCCACCACTGTGCTGCTTCCAACCACTGTGAGTCCAATACCCCTGGGCAGCAGCAGCTAAGCAATAGACGCAAGAGAATTTTCAACCAAAACCCCCGAACTAACCAAACGCAGACCCACAGGTCTCTCCCTCTTTCCCAACAGCAACATCAGAAAGATACAGCTGGGTGTTCTCTTAGAACCACTTGTTTTCCTTTGGGCACGTTCACTAACATATAGCACCTCAGCAGAGTAGTGGTCATGGTGTAGAAAAGATGTGCTCACCAATGTGCAGCTGGACACAGCTCAGCCCTGTTACAGGCTCTGGCCCAGCTGCTGCTGTGCCTGGGTTCATCTCCACACCAACACCTGCCTGTGTGTTCTGTCCCTTCCCCACCCATTACACAGCAGAGAAGTCATGGCACAAAACAAGGGCTGCTGTTTCTCCATACTCATTTCCAAGAAGAGTGTAGAACTGCCTCAAGTACATAACTGTGAAGGCCAAGGGCTTTTGAGATAAAGATCCAATTGAGTCAAAACAGCCCATTTTTCTTTAAAAACATCCAGATGTGTTTCACAGAACCATTCACAAAATATAGAGAAGAATAAACTAAAAGCCTCTAGAGGCAAACCAAAGCTCTTTGGGCTGCCATCTAATAACAAACCCCCTTGCCTTGGCAATCTTACGCTTGATAAAATACAGAGAATTGTTGCATAAAACTGCAGAGGGAGATGTTCTGCTCCTTTTAAAAAACAAATGCCAGGCACCTATTCTGGGAAACATGACCAAACCATGCCTTAGTTTTAGCAAGTTTAAGTTCAGGCCCAGTGTAGCATCATTTCAGGGTAAGTTATGTCTGGATACAAGTAAACTTGAAAAGCAACGTCCTCTAAACCTGGGCATTCTAACAAGCAGTGACCTAATTTAGCTGAGACACATTATCCATATTGCTTCCTGACTTAAATGTCAGTATTTCCCATATTTTACTTTTGTAAGAGGCAATACAGCCCAGTACACAGGTGAACTGTAAACTTCCAGAGGTTTCAAGATCTCATTAAACTCATCTACTTTCTGGAATCAAAATAGCTTAGGTTGGAAAAAAAAACCTTCCTGGTGAAATACTTTCAAGTAAAACCAAGGGTAAGAGCAGTCTTGATAATAATGACCTCCTAAGTAACTGAAAATAAAACCATTCATGTAGATGCATATAATGATACGTACGCACACTGAGACAAAAAACTAGGAAGAGTTTGCGTATCTACAGTTCCCAGAAACTGTAAGGAATTACAAAAGGGGAAGAAAAAGAAATGTTATTGAATCAAATGAGTCTTCTTCAAACAGTAACTGGCTGTGACATACCAACGTCTCTGATGAAGTTCTGGGGTCTGTGTCCTGTATCCACAAAGTGCTGGCAGTAATCATTGTGTGGATTTAAGCTCTGAGTGCCCTGGAGAACAGGAAGAAGTTCAGTGAGAGCAACAGGAGATGAGGACATACACAGACACATTGTATCTGTTAGTCTGATAAATGAGAAAGGAGCAGATTATCTTTTCAACATGCCTTTACAAGTTTTACTGGTCAAGACCATCCTTTTAGTTCCAAACCTGGCCCACCATTCCTGCAGCCCATCGCAAGGTCCCTCAGAATAATGCAAACACCAGCTACAGTCAGATCTGGCACAGGCAACTTCTGTACCTGTGAGTTCTGAGCCTCTACTTCAGCCTTTAAAGCTGTATTTCAGATCCCATCAGTTGCAGAAACAGTTTAAGACAACTAGGCCAGCTTTGACTACATTTCCAATTGCAAAAGCAGCTCACCTTCAGAAAGGTACTGGAATCTTTGTAAATCTCTTCTTCATAGGGCAGATTTTCTTCATCTTGCTGCAGCTCCACTTCATCCTTGGAAATAAAGCAGGTATTACAAGTGTGCATACAAGATCAAGCTGTTTCTGTCCTTTCCTTAAGAAGCAGACCATAAGGAGAAGTGGACTGTCTACAAACAGCAGATCCAGCTCCACTGTTTGAGTGGGGGGGAAAAAAATTACCTGTTCCCCAAAAAATCTGCACCTTTCTCACTAACAAGGAAAGTGTTACTGCGAAAGGCCTCTGAAAGAAAGAAAAAAGTAAGAACCCCTTCACTTCCAGCCCCCGACAGTTCTTTACAAGGTGTAGAACTTCATATTTTTGTCCCACAAAACTTTTATTTTTTGGACTGAAAGTGCATATTTTGTTGACATTCTTCTGCAGCAAAACTACTAAGCATTTATATCCACACAGTCATCTCTTACTTTCCAGCCTTAGCAAAGTCCACACTTTGAAGAAACAGCTTATGGTACAAGTCAGTATTTAATCTGGACTGTCCTTAAATGTAACTTTAACATTTCTATAGCTCCAGAATTTACATTAAAACTAGAGAGCCACCAACTGTTCATTCAACAGATTTCTGGGATTCAGAGATCTGTTACACTGACATACTCTGAACATCCAACACAGAACTCAGAGAGAACAGAGAGACTCACTTCACATCACTTTCTGCCTTTGCACTAATCCTGGATCAACCCAGTGTGTAGATTTATAGAACACAGAGGTACAACTGAAGAACTACTAAATTGATAACATCTGCCATCTTATTACAGCTGTATTTACCCTATGCTACATAAGCTGTCTGAATACAGAATAAAAAGTTACGTGCTGTCCCTCCCAGTTTTGGTCCCCCTAAATGTCAAAATCTTCAAGTAAGCTTTTGTTATTTCCAAGGTGGAGCTTTAGACCAACTTCTGAAATGTCTGATGCGATAAATAGGTCACAGCTTCCTCTTCCCTATTGAGGTGATGAACTTAGAGATACACAGTATTTTTGCTTGTCTGTTTACCCAGATCAAAAAAAAAATATTACAATCAGAAACAGCAAGAGTTTTTGAAAGGAAAAGAAATGTACAGACAAGCAGCAGCAAGTGTTATTCGGGCCAAAAAAAAAAGCTGAAGGCCTGAGTTTTACTAAAAACTGCTTATGCCATCATTAGTTACACCTGTTTCCCTCTTTCATCTTTGTCTTTTGATGACAAGTACCAGTTAGACACCTGAGTGATCCCAGTTCTCTTTTCACCTTCATAAGTAATTTTAAAAGAGTCTTGTGGTCACAAACAAAAGCCCACACCACCAAATTTCAAAGGGAAAGGACACAAGCACAGCAGAGACAGAACGACACCAGCAGTAATACAAGATACTAGGTTCTTGTAATTAATCATCTGTGTTTTTCAAAGCATCTGCTATAGGGCTGCTGCGTTAGGGAAACAGAAACGCCCCACAATATTCCAACATAGCTTGTTTCAAATGACTGGAGATACATGGAATCCATGATTCAACCAAGTAAGCTTTCTTCAGCCTCCACAACAATGGCATGGAAGCATCCCGAGCCTGCAGGTCTCTGCTTGCACAAACCAAGTAGAACAGGGCAGTCTCTAAGTAGACAGCAAAACACAACCACAAGCAGTTTTGTACTCCACACACCAGACACTCAAACAGGTTCAAACAATGGAGTCAAATCACCTGGGGAAGGCAACAGGTGGAACAGCACTCACAGCTCCCAGAGGGTGGTGAAAAGCCTCACAGTGGCAGCAGAGATTCTAATCCCAATTATATCTCACTTCCAAATACAGACCATGGAACCCAACTAACCCTGGGACAACTGTTACAATTCCACAAGAAAAAAGTATTTTAGGAGCTCTCCAGAACCACAACTGAACTTTCTGACTTTAAAATATCCATTATTCATTTTTCCAATAGTGCATCTTTTTCCTATCACCCACCTCCCAAGGCTGGTAAGGCAGAGCCAGGCTCCAAGACTGGAGTCAAGCTGCCAGACTAGAGCCAATGCTGCCCTTTGTTCTCACATCAGCCTGAGCCTTATGAAGAATCACCACTATAAATTCACACCTATTCTACAGAAAAAAACAAAAACAGACACAAAGAAATTAAAAAAAAAAGCCACCAAAATTAAAACACATTGATTTTTTTTCTTGTTTTGCATCAGATGTTCCTACATGGCTGAGAAAAGTAAGATACTTCACCTTTTATCTTAGAAACTGCTCTCACACAGGTGTGAGGGTACATTCACTTCCAACAAATCTGAAGCCAGGGCACAAAAATTTAAAATCATTTCAGAAGAATGACCTGATCCCATCATATAGAACCCAACACTGCAAGTCAGGGGTACAGACACAAGTCCCTTCACATCAGAAATACCTCTAATTTTCTGAACAAAACTGGCAAACTTGCAAAACTTGTCCACAACACTTCTAGTTAAGTCTATTATTGCTTTTGTCTAAGTTGCATTAAACACAATACAACAGGGCTTGACACCTTAAGGATCCAGTATGAGTTCATATTACAAGACTAAACTTAAGCAGACTCAGAGAGATCAGGAAAATGCAGATGGAATTTTACTGTTCTTATCTCCTTGCCAATAGAGAATTAGCAATGCCTGCAGGAAACAGCTGATGACTCCACAATAGATGTTCTACTCTGAGGTTTCAGGTTTCTTAAGTCTGTTTATCTGCTTGACTGAATTTTGTCTAAGCTACTGTTATTAAAATATTCTTCCATTTCAACAATATAGAAAAAGTCTGGCCGCTTGCAAGTGGTCACAGCCCACCTCAGGGTAAGTCTTCTCCACAATGATTAAGAAAATCTTAATTATAAGATTCATGTACTTTGCCAACCTGAGTAACTTACCCACATATACTTTATAGGTAATTAAAATTTAGTTTTTTAACCATATACTTGGTGAAGAAGTAAAATTAATTGATATTAACTGATCACTAATGCAAGAATAAAAACACTGCTTCACAAACAGCCTTCTAACTCATGGTAACCATTCCTTTACTAAACAGGGTATATAGACTAACACTTATCACATTAAAAATAATGTCTGTCTTTTCACAGAAAGACTTTCAAAATCAACCATCAAAAACCATCCTGTCATACTATAACTTCTTGGTTTAGTAAGATAAAAGGTAGACATTGTTACAGGAAGATTTACAAACCTGAACACAAATGTAACATGATGAATGCTTTGTATGTAAAAAATTACTATTTCAGGCATCCAAGAGAATAGCAGACACGGAACTATTTCATAAACACACTGACATTGATTCAATTTAACCACAGAAACAAGGTTATTAGGACATGGAAAAAAGGGAGTGGGACATACACTGCAACCAGATCCCAGACCAAATCATAAAGACAGCTGTATCAGAGTCATACCTTTGTTTAAGCTCTTTCTAGCTCTTATCTTGGCCAAAACATCACATGAGGAGAAAGCTGTCATATAGCTTTGGGATGAGAGTATTACACTTCAGTGACCATGGAGGCATTTTGGTTTGTTTTTCTTAACCTAACTTTTCCTGGACATTTTGGACACTTAAAAGAACATCCCAAACCAAGCCTCTTACTTCCAATTCCCTTAGGATCCCTTGTTGCTTCCACTCATCCAGAACTGCATTCCTTGGCACTGCACAGATGGGCCAGAAGACACTCTCAGCCACCCTTGTCTCAGCCCATGGCCTGTGCCTGCTGCTAACCACAGGCTTTCCTTTTGACACAATGAAATTCTTTCCATGTTTTCCCAAGCACATATACATTTTACCACTTCCTCCCATAGCCAGCCATGGCTCAGTGCTGTTCCCTGTGGGCACTTACTCTCAGGCCTGCCTCCTCCTAGGAGCAGCACTAATTAAGCCTCCTTAACAACACACTGGAGTTTGGTGAGTGTACAGTTCAATGTACCTAGGTCACACTTGAGGTGAACCACATAGCATCTATGTCCTCTCTCTTCCACTTCTGCAGTGGAAGGCATAAAGGGAGATGCCACTGTGGAACATACATATTAAAGGATGTATACACATCACATTTATTTTAACATGCACACAAATTTTTTAAGTACCTCAGGGACATAACACCAGAGAAAAGTAACTTTTTCCTCTTTCTCTTACCTTATATTCTTCAATCTCTTCCTCATCAGCTTCTCCCTCATCTGGATATTTACGTTTTGCATTTGGTGCAGAAGTATCATAAGCAGCCCTATGAAAAGCCAAAAATCCTTGTAAAAAAGTTTCTACCTCCAAAGAGAAGTGTTCAGGAATCTTTAATAATATATCTTATCTGCATGCTACTAATTTGAAATGATTTCAAAACATCATACATGAAAAGCTATTCCTCTCTTAGTATATTTGAGTTCAGCACAACTTATTAAGAATACAACTCTTGAAAAGAGTAATTCCCTTGCCTTTCTCACTTTTCTGCTCTCAAAAGTACAGCTTATTTTAACCAATGCAGTATATCAAGAGAATTAAGCTAATTCCCTTCCATTTCTCATTTTTCTGTTTTAAAAGGTACAGCTTGTTTTACGTCAGAGCAGTTTGTCTACAAAATTAAGCCTGTTCACACATATGTAAGAAATGATAAGCAGTAGATGCTCTGTCCTAGACACAGCCGTAGTTTCATGAGAACTTCCGAACTGAACTGCCCGGAACTGTGCTTAGCAAAAGCATGAAGGCTCTGGGACCCAAGCAGATGGCCCATTCTAAATTCAGATCTCGGCTTTCCTACACAGTAGCTTTTTCACATCAGAAACAAAAGTCAACCTGTATTTCCAATCTCCGCTTAGAAGAGAATAACTAGACCCTACTCGCCTTAGTCGCAGCTCTGATTTGATTACTGAATTTCCTTTCACCGAGTGCAACCCCATCGCACTTCCCGGGCCTATACTCCTATCGAGCAGCCAGTTTCGCACAGCCACCGCCCTCCAATACCGACCTGCAGGTCTCCCTGGTTTCCGCGATCTCCCGCTGCTCATCCTTGCTGTTGAGCACGGCGCCGATGCTGTCCGCGTTTTCGGCCCCCAGCTGCACAGCGGCAAACACAAAGTCACACCGCGGCCGCCCCAGAGCCTGGCCGCCCCAGAGCCTGGCCGCCCCAGAGCCTGGCCGCCCCAGAGCCTGGCCGCCCCAGCCCCCGCCCCGCAGCGCCCCGGCTGCTCCCGGCCGTACCTGCTGCGCCAGGAGCTGGCGGCGGAGCTTCTGCCGCTCGCGGATCTCCTGCAGGCGGCTGTTCATGGCCCGCACCGGCCCCGCGCCGCCGCGCTCCCGCCGCCGCCGTCACTTCCCGCCCGCGCGTCACTTCCGTGCCGAGCGATTCCCGCAGGGAAATCCCGGTGCCCGCACGCCGCCCGTGTCCGTGGGGTGCGGGCGGTGTTCGGGTGTAGATGTCAAGTTCACGTTCGCTCAGCCGCTGCAGTGCACGGACCGCGCCTGAGGCGACACCCGGCTCAGGCCGCGTCACAGCTAGGACCACTTAATCACCTGGTCGGTTTTTCTAAAGTCCGTCCTTTATATCCAATTCCATATCCAGCGTGGTTATTCGTAGGATAACATTAATATTTTGCTTCATCTTCTGGTCCTTTAGAAACTTTAGCTGTGAGGGAAGAGAATCTTTGAAGCTCTTTTCATCTGATTTTTGGTATCTTTCCCACCTCCTCCTATTTCCCCTCTCCTCTGTACTGTCTGTCTGGGAATGTATCCATATTTCATGCTGACTTTCTGAGAACTATTCAGAATGCAGTGAAGAATAAAGATGGAAATAAAGGCCTGCAATAAACGTCAGTCCCTGCTGTCACACAAAAGGAAACTTAACAAAAGAATAAAGAAACATTACAAATTATCTCACAGTTGTAATTAATGCTGATGTTTGCTCGCCTGACAGGGACCAATTCTTCCCGTAGTTGCCAGACCCAGCGACGTGGGCAGCAAGAGCTGAGAAGTGACACTCATGTCCCTGCTACACACGGCATGCTGTTCCTCTGCTGGTTTCTGAGTGCCAGATAATGACACACTTTAGTGATACAAGATGTTATTCTCCTTTTTTTGAATGTGGTATATATTGTGTACATGACAATAACATTATGCAGGTCATATGGTCACACTGAAAACTCAGAAAGATGCATGAAGAGAAGGAAATTAAAGAAGTCCAGACTAACACAAAAAGAAACCATTTGCAGCTATTCACATTTCTCAGTGATACAATATCCTAGAAATATGAGGGAGCTTTTGGAATGTTAAAACCCTACAGTACCAAAAGTCATTTTTTAAAATTTCCTTAGGGAACACATTACTAGTTATACTGTCTTATCCATGGAAATATTACGGGGAAAGAAATGCTCAGTAGCTGTCTCGTGCTACTGTACACTACTTTGATATTGTTGGCTGTAATGAATACAGTAGAAGTCTCTGTGCAGTAACAAAATCACTTCCTCCTGGATGTGATCTGATGAGGTTTGTGGGAGCCTGCACTCCATTTTTAGAACTTGTTGGTAAGATGAGCTGATCTTTGCAAACATTAAGGGCTATGAAGATGTTCTGCTGTATATATGCACTCTTTCAAAACAAAAAAGTTGTATTTTTGCAGAATGCTCCATGCTTTTCTTCTTCTCTGTGCATGCTGTGGTTTCAGCTCTCTGAGCCTTATATCCAGCCCGTGTTTCAGTTAAGGTAATGATCAGACAGAATTCTCACTGGTCTAATGGTGACTAAGGAGTTTATGGAACTGCCATCAACTCTGATCCATTATCCAGACTTTTCCCTTCCTATTTATGAAGCCAATTGTTTCGACATCCTGTTTTTATTTAGCTGATTATCCCTGAGTTCATTATCTTTCACTTCTCTTTGCTGACACACATTCAATCTTTTTAGTTATTACTATCGTGATAATTTTGAATTCAAATACTCTCCTCCAGCCTACTTGTATCTACTTTCAACGTCAGGTGGTTTGCAATAAGCAGATATTCTCTGCCACTTTGTTTAACCATTTACGGCATTATAACCAATTATGGCATTTAAAAAACACTAACAAATAATGACACAATTTCACACCCATTTGGGAATTGAGTTACACTGACATATATTCAAGTCTAGACTACTCCATTTAGCAAAAAACTGCTACTTATTTTATATCAGTAGAAACTACTGTAGAAGTTACACAGAATTGGAGCCACAATGCTTAATTTAGCACTGTTCTCTCATTTTAATTGTTCTTCATATCACAAAACTCAAACTACATTGTGTCCAGTTAGATGCCAAATAAATTTATAAACTAAAAGGACCAAATGGATCAAATAGATGAAATTAAAAACTTTGCCTCTGAACTCAAAAAGAATGATTAAGAAAACATAAAATATAAGAACCTTTCATAAGAGAAAAACAGATGTTAACAGGGACTAACATTACATTCTTAACAGGGACTAACATTACATTCTTCTTAATGTCCCTTTTCCCCATGCTTTCAGTGAAGTGCCTAGACCTACCTCTTTAGCAATGTCTTTATAAATTGTTACCTCAATACTGGAGCCTATTTGGAACAAGTGGCAGTATCCCAACACCCAGTGACTGTGGCTGTGCTTGCTTTTGTACCCCTGCCTTAGGCTGTGTCCGCGCCAGAAGGCAAAGCTGATTTAATGAGCCTATTGCAAAAACACCACACCCATGAATCTGTACAAGTTCACTGTAGCAGCTCCAATTTGGTTTAAAAATCTATTGGAAGGAACTAAGTAGCAGCAGAGTGTCTGTTAGGCGAGTACTGCCTGTCCTTAGTAAGCCCACAAACATCCAGCCAAAACAGAGCCTTCAGAAACACCCTGCCGCTGGCTAACACACTGCCACTGGGTAATTTGCCCGGCATGTGCTGCGATTTCACACTTCATCTAGATCAAGTTGCACTGCCACTTGATCCAACCTCAGACATGTTCTTTGTGGTGGACACAGAGCCTTGATGTTGGAGCTGCTGCCCCTGCACCAACAGATCATACCTGGATGTGACCATTGACAGGAATTTTCAAAGAGATTCGGTAACTCCTTTGCTTTTGAACGGCATTATATTTCATTCTACTTTGTCAGCAAGAATAAGTGACTTGAACACAAAAGTTTAAAAAATTATAAAATATTTCTAATTCCCCTACATTATTTAATGACCTGAACTAAACATTTTTCTAGCTTCCTCACAAGCAGTATCCAACACTGCTGAAGAAAACCAGCAGGACTGGAGCAGAATTAGAGAAGCTTTTTGAACAGAACTTTGTTTTGCTGAAAAATGTGGATGGGTCCAGAGAGGGTTTTAAGACCTTGCACTGGATTTGTTTAACTGCTGGGAATAGAAATAATCTCTGCTTTTAAAAATTCCTCTGATCAATATGTTTTGTTCTAGAAACATCACAAACGACCAAAATTATAGTCTATATTCTTAATTCAAGATATCCTGTTTACAGCTATTCAGACTTGACATTAGGAAGCATTTCCTTAGGAGAGGGTTGTCAAACACTGAGCAGGTTCCCTGGAGAGGGGATCAATGTCCCAGGCAACCTTTCAGCGTTTTAGAGGTGTTTGGACAATGCCCTTAACTACTTTTGGTCAGCCCTGAAGTACTCAGGCAGCTGGACCACATAAAAGTCTGGTCTCGTTTATTCTACTTTACAAATTCAGTGTGTTAATTTGCATTGCAAAAGATAAGACTTGGCCTTTTTACATTTCTTCCCTCAAATCCCATTTCATTTGGAGACCACAGGCTTCTCACCATATTCAGAGAATACTTTTCAACAGAAACGTCTGCGTATATGCCTGAAAATGCAGCATGTGAAAAGAGGGTGGAGTGCAGCTTTATGTTGCATTGCATCTAACACTAACCTTGTATTGACTCCTTTTCACTTAGACACTGCCCCCTTAGTGAGGCAGGAGTAAATCTCTAGTAATTATACAATTCCATGATATTATTTGTTCTGCTACTGAGCTGAATTTGATCCACTGAAAGGCAGTAAGATCTAATGACATGACATCTCCTGGCTTTACTGTTACAAACCAAAGCATCAAAGTGTGAATAGGTAATGCATTGAATAACAGAGAGCCATATTTCTATACATCTCAGTGTTCACTGACTCACAGACTTTACAAACACCAAAATCAGAAAATATTATGTATCACTTTCCTGCTTTCCCTATGTTTTTCACGATACATTAAAATTATACTGCCAGTTTTACCTTACAGCCATATCTGTGTCCCATCATGCTTGCAAAACAAGACCATTTTTATGTTTACGTGTGGTACTTGTAAACATAAAAATGAATGGGCTTACACTACACAATGCACATAGACTTCACAACAATGAAATGCAGAATTCTGAAACAGGTACTATTAAGAAATGCTTTGAGAAATTTATCTCTGAGCAAAGAGAAGACAAATGCTACCATTCCAGTCATAAATAATTGGAGGGAACTACCTGGATTGTTTGTGAGAGAAGAACACTCTGTCTCACAGCTGGTTTGTTTGTGCTGACTGGTAGTAAAGGAAACTGAATGATACTGTACAGAATGTGACAGGATATGGCAGCTTTGTACACTGAAAACCTCCTGTGTCTGATGTCTCCGTATTCCAGAAAACTCATTCTTATTTATTACCTGACATACTCAGTACTTTAGTTTTCAATATTATTTAGTGTCTCCTGACTACCTCCCCAGCTAACTAAATGGGGTATTTTCGATCAGCATGTTATTTGTACAAAGTATTTTTAAATATAGCTTTGAATTTATTGATTATCTTCTTGTTACTCCAAAATATAGCTTGCAGTTAAATCTTAGAGAAAGGATTTTTTTACTTTTCCTGGATCCTAGGAAATTCAGAGAGAAATTCAAGAAGAAAAACCCATACATACATAAGAAAAAAAGTGGACACATGGACTACACATCATTGAAATAATTTCCCCTGGGAAGTGGTGGATTTCCCAACACTGGACACTTTTAAAAGTGCTGAACCATCTGTCTAGGTTGTGTTTTTGCCAAGAAAGTTTGGATCAGATGGTCTTTGAGGTCCTTTACAACAAGTAGAGCCCACCCTCTACAGCTCCCGGCACAAGTTAACTTACTTGATTTCTAAGGGCTAAATGAAGGCTCTGCTGAAACTAATAGCAACATTCTGAGACCCGGTTCCAAAACAGAGTAATAATCATAATAAAGCAAGGAGAGGTTTGAAAGTTTACAATTGATAAAGTTAGCAGTACTTCTACTTTGCACAACTGGACATTTGGTCTGGTAGGATTGAATGACATACCATTAGGAGGTATTCTGTAAAATAACAATGTTTAAAAGTCTAAAGTAAAAAAAAGTAGAGCATAGTGCAATACAGTTCTCATTCAAAAAATAAATTGAGTGCTAAGCAGATCAATATGAAAACAGAAGTCATTATCTATGTTTTGTACAGCTGTACCTATAGAAAAAATAGTACTTTTCATAATCCAATGGGCTTAATTTTAATTTTTCCTTTTACTTGCTATATCATGATGTCAGCCAAGATGGCTAAGTATGAAAACAGTAAATTGGAACATGTTATTCCACAGAGCCATTAGATTATGAAGGAAGTAGCAATGGGGAAATCACA